TGAACTGATGGTGTGATCAAAAAATAACCAGCCAATAGGACGCGGAACGAGAACGCCTTTAATGAAGTAAGTTCGGTTTCTCTGATTGGACTTTCAAATATTGTTTAATTGGCAATTTAGGCGAATGGGCAAATAGCGGATAGGTGAGAAGAAAAATGTACTTATCGATCGTGAAGTAAATCGATATGCATTGGTTGCACCTACTCACCTACTCCCTATGGGCTTGGGTCGCCAACTGAAGAACCCTTACAAAAGTATGAACTTACCCAGCGTTTGGGTCGTCGCTTGCGATCGACACCGCCATACAACGACTTGTGATGTTCTGACAGACGTTGCACTTGGCGGACGGTACCAATGTGGTCTGCAATAAGTTGTTATAAGGTAATGTGACTGGTTTCAGTGAGGTGCTAAATTTTATTCACTTCTAATGATCGTTTTGTAAGAGTGCAACAAGCCGTTCGTTCTGTAGTCGCACTTAAATACTGCAATTTTACGGATTCTGCGATTCCGTCACAGTGCTTAAGATGTGAATTGATTGAGAAGATTCCCTTCTTAATCTCATGGTCAACCCAATTCCACCTTGATGGTCCAATTCAGTATGGAATGGCACGAGCCAGCTGTTGCTTCTAGTCGCACTCAAACACTAATAGAATGCACCCATGCTCAACGTCCCAGGAGATTACGAGATAGTTCTCCTCACAGAGTTAAATACCTCCCATCAGGGTCTACCATCGCGTTCGCTGATTTCGAAAAGGTGTGCACGCACCTTCCCTTCTAGGAGAGCCTCGACACGACCCCTCCTAAAGCACCACACCTAAAAAAAGTCACCCACATACCCTTCCCCTGTCCCTAAGAAGTTTTGGAAGAGAGTCTACCCAAATACGACCTTCTAGAAACCGCAGATATGATCCCACTATCGGACTTGGTCAGCCCACGTGACCCTGCTTTGAATGATCTCCTCTTGGGACCACATCTCCTGACCGCGATGAGCAACAGGCTGTCTTGGCGGTCGCAACGAAGGACCAGTCGTTTCTACTTTGTTCAGGTGGGAAATTTTGGCATTTTTTACTAGCAACGTTTAGAAAAAGTAACATTCGCCAAAATTCCTTCGCGCACTTACGAAATTGATTCTTTCATCACGGTACCCCCCCCAACTGGGGGTTGCCGTAATCGCACGAGCTATTTCGCCAAATTTCCCCATTTTATAGTCGTAGCATAGATTCGACCATTCTTCCGGGCTCGGCCATGAGTTCCGGTATGCCGGTATAGGAGGAAATCCACGGCCGAGAGGTATTTTATACGGCCCTTCTGGACAGCGCCATCTGCTCCCCTTGAGCTGGCACTTTTTGATCTAATGCCTTTTCCTGGACATTCGACAAAGGTACTGACCGTTAGGAGCAAGGCGCTCCTAGA